AAGTTGTAAAACTATGTCTACATCCCTTAGTATTTGATGAATTTAGATTTCCTTCTATGATTGGTCTATCGAGATTTTATATAATTATTACTTACAAGTCTCAGCATGATCTGATTAATTTTCCTTGCCATTTTCGTCTCTTATACCTTTTCTGCACCGACCGAGGTAGGATCGAAGAAAAATAATTTTGAGGATATCGCCGAGGCACTACGAGGTTTGAGACGCATCCGTATCTGACTTTATTTTCCCTTCCTAGTTTCAAGAAAGCTCGCCTTTCAAGATTTGATCCCGCAAAAAGCGGTGAAGCTTCTCATAGAGATCACTAACGAGGAGAAAGCTGCTGCAGAAGTGGTCATGAGCAACTATGCTAAGTACAAGAGTGAGGAAGAGGTATGGAAAGAAGCTTAGAAGGTCTTTCTACCATTAAAATTCTTTTAGTTTTTGGAAGCGTTGAAAGAAAAATCGCTTAGCCTGCACAAAAAATTGAGCAAATTTCAAGCTTTCATCAAAAGTAAAATCGATTCGCTACAGGATGAAGCAAAGAGATTTGTGGAGGCAGTGGGTTATTAATTTTATAGAAAGCTTTATGCTGACTTCGATTTTTAAAAAATTAGGACTTGGTAATTGTAACTAAAATTTTATTTCATTATCTCTTCGATTTGTTTGCAGATGCTAGCAGATCTTAGTGCACTAACTACACAAATTCTTGCTGGAGGAAAGTTACCGCTTGAAGGAATCAAAAAGACAGCCAAAGGGTAACGTTTATTCTTTTGTTCCGTTCGCAAATCCTGGAGTTGTATCTTATTCAGGCATGTATCCGAATTTGAGAAACTTTCTGACACTGCTAAGGAAGATCTCAAGAAGAAATTACCTAAACTCACGTCCTATTTTACGGGTAATCCTTCCTTGTTCTTCTGTTTCAAGTTTTTCTATACCTTTCCAATGTAATCGTTACAGACTAAAGGCGGAATCGATGGTTGGCAAGCATACCTATACTCCCTGTAAAAAGTAGATTTAATATCATCTTAGCGGTACCTATACAAGTTACCCTAATAAAAGATACTTTTTATATCTTTGGCAAAGACATAGAAGTGTTCTCAACATTTTGCCCTTTAGGTAAATTTCTGTTTCACATCTGAAAATGAAAGTTAAGCTTTCATTAAGAAATAAAAGTTATTGCATACGTTACTTTGACCAACTCATAGAATGATCCCTAGATTGGTTAAACGATGACGCCAAAACCAGATTTGAAACAGTAATATTTTTGTGATTTTAAACTCAAAGCGCTTGGAAGGGGCTGACTAATGATAAAATTTGGGTATTATATATATATACATA